GATGTCTTCGTATTCTCTACGTAGCACCAAAAGCAGCCTTACATTCACTAGGTATCCATCAATGTCAATCCAATGCCAAAACTCTGCAGAACGTACTGACTTGATGTTGTGTGGGCAGTCAGGAATAGGGACTTGGTAGGGGTACTTCGCCCTGTCTGCTAGCATGGAATTCATAAAGCTCTTTTGCTTGGGATCGCAGTCAGTGGCCCAAACCAATAGGAACAGTCTTGTGCATACTTTATCTTCTCTCATGCACAAACTACAAGGGCGAAGAAGACCTTTTCAAGCAATTTCCGGAGCTCTACGGTGAAGTAAATTCGATAATTTACTTTGGATTCACTTTGGTATGTTCGTTTCATTGATCAAATGCTCTATTTAATTAGCATGTCTGTAAATGGTATGGAAACGCTGTCACCTTCGAATATAATTTTGATCACAGAAACGCTTCAGTAAGTGTTCGCACAACCACCGCTTTTTGAGCAGAAAACACGAATAGAACAAACAACGACAACTCCACAGACCTTGAACTAATCTTTTCTTTCTCCGCTTTTCTCTCTTTCTTTCTTGGACTCCTGTACATAAATTTGCAAGATAGTTAGCTCATAATTCTGAACATGATAGAAACAGACAGATATAGCTGCTCGAAGTTTTAGATTACTGTTTCACACATTCTGATCTATTCAAAACCACGCCGCCAAAACATTTCCATCACAAAGTCACAAACACCGAATTTATAGACGTACGTACCTTTCCGACTCATGCTTTTTCTTGTGCTTCCCCATGCTGACAAAGATTGATAACGATCGATTGAGAAAAAAATTCAAAGTGATCTCTCGAGATGTCTGATTTCGACTGATTGAATCTGGACTGAATGAAAGACACCACGTCGACACCACGTGCAGCATGTCATTCTTTGAGTGACACTGATGACATGTGCCTGAAAGAAGCCAGTAACTGCAACCACCGCGACTACTGATACTACGGCCAAGAATAAGGATACTTTATATTATTATTCTTTTGACGTTACCTGAAATCCAAAAATTAGTTCCAATTGCGCCCAAACAGGAAAAGAATCTAAACCTCCGACTCCAAAAGCGCAACGGGGAAAAAGGTCGAAAGGGTGTCTTATAAAGAGCGATAATATACAGTAATATGAATCACTCCCTGGGCTGGGATTCTGTCACGTCATTATAATGTGACCATTGTTTCAAATTGATACCCGATATGTCACAATGACAAGGGATGTCCCTGCGAGTGAAACACGCGTGAACATGCCTGTTGTGCGTCCTTGCGACATGAGATTTTCACGCAACAGTCGCTAAAGGAAAAGAAGAGGCCCTGGAACCATCACAACAGAGTGGATTCCAGCAACCTGGATTCTGGATTACAATGCTTGGATTCCGGATTCCATTAGCTGGATTCCGGATTCCAAAGCCGTGGATTCCGGATTCCACAGACCAAAATTACCCGGATTCCGGATTCCGGATTACCTTACATGGGGCGAATATTCACTCTCCTCTGTCTTTCCCCGTTATATTTGGTGCAAGTTAAACAAATTCAGTTGTTAAAGTAAAATAAATATCTACTCACCAAACGTTGATAAAAAGGAAAACTCTAAGGTTTCGTCAGAGTTTCTTAAGCCAAAATGTGACTCATCGAATTCGAGTAGTTAAGAAATGCCAGGATTTTTATCATTGTGGTAGATGGTTGCATCACCACAATTCACAAGATTTTCACGTGCAATTCTACTCAGTGAAACAGTCCACCAACTCCAACAACAAACTCCAACAACTTATTTCTTTATGTTTTAAAAGCTATTGCTTCTTAAAAGACAAGAGCCTCTTTTAAGGCATTGGTTACAAAACGAAACAGGTCTTCATACGTTCAAGTTTCTATTATTATTGTGAAAAACCAATCTGCAGGAGATGTACAGTCGCACAACTGACACGTGAAAGTGTTGGACTTTGCCCCCTTTCGTTGTTCGTACGTGAGGGAATTCGAGTTATCACACAGTAATCTAGTAAACAGAATTATAAAAATAACTCATGCAAGCAATTTGCACGTGAAGATGTTGGTCTTTGGCCCTTTTACAATTCGTACGTAAAAAAAACGCAAATTGTTTACTACCAAATTTTCTCAAACGATTTTGAGAAATCACCTCGGCTTCATTACAACATCTGCAATTAAATTATGTTTCGTGCAACGTCAAGGTTGATAGCCCAACATTTACTAACTTCCAAGAAAATTATCAAACTGCCGAAATATATTTCTGCTCATATCATGTTACTCCACTCAGTAAAACAATATATTGTTGTGTCATCTAGCTTCTTTCAATTTTATTCCCTAACGCTACTGTTTCTACTTATGTTACGCATCTTAACTAAATAAAATACGTTTCAATAACTTATAATGCTTGGTATGCAGGAAGGATGTATCATGTTCACTTATTATTCTTTTTTTGTTGTTTTGCCGGAATGAAAAAAGGTCTGTTGAACTTTTTAAGCGAGAGAATAATATTTTTAAAGCTTGTTTACAGGATTATCAATACTCGGTATAGCTTTCAAAAAAATAAGCTGCCTTTCAAACTTGTAAAACCACATTTTATAGGCCGCATACTTTCGAATTAAAGTCCATATCTAAATATCAATTATTGCTTCACTGAAAGAGCTTTGAAAATATACGATCTTTTATAGTCTACCTTGAAGCAGATGAAACACAACTCACAAATACGTGCGTCAGTACCGTTAGCGATAGCCGAATTCGGTCAGAAATGTCTCGAAGTAGCATCCACACTAAAATAGGAACCCTTAAACAGCTGCATCATTGTACACAGCGTTTGAATCATGAAGATATTTAATACAACGTTTCCAAACACCTTTAGCCGTAATAAAAGACGAAAAAATTGTGAAGAATTAAGATGGCGGTCTCAAAGTGCCCTTGTTCGACCTTTAGCAATGTCATGTTTAAGTAGATGCTAAGATCTCATTGGTTCTTAAGCATCAACTCATAGTACCTTCAACCTTATTGGCTCTTGCAACAAACATCCGAACATACAAAGATACAAAGTTACAAAGATACAAAGATACAAAGCCACAAAGATACATACGCTCAAACCACTGACATATGAGCTATATTTTCAAAATAGCTCAGCAAATTAATTACAAGTGGTTTGTTTCATATAATACTGAAGAACCACAAACTCACAGGTCAGATTGTAAAAAGGTAAAATATTTTGTCTTTATAGGGTTAAAAACTTTTTAACTAGATCATCCACAAGACAACAATTTTTCCAGATCGAGGAATCTAAGGTGAAATCTAGGTGGCAAATGAAAACTAAAGGGGACTAAAAGCCAACACTTCTAAAAGACACTAATTGTTTTATAGCCCAATCAGAGAAAAGATCAAAACGTGATTTCCTTGTTTTCCTGCCACAGAAAACCCTAATATGGAGAAGGCATTGTTCAATTGGCCAATCTGTTAATCTATTTAATATCTCTTTAAGAAATTAAAAATCCTCTCCGTTCCAACAGATGAAAAGTGTCATGTGGCCCATTTTGCTTAATTACTAATAAAATAAAAGTGCTAGTCAACCAATACTGGCCAGATTCATGCTGACGTGCTTGAGAAAATTGCCATTTGTTACTTTATATTTTACCTACAATCTGGCCACATAGAATCTCAAAAAGATTCCCATGAAACACTCAGGTAAATCATTCAAAGTAACCTAAGCTAGAACAAATCTTTGACCAGCCACTGATTTGTTTAAAATTCTTACAGTGCAGCAAGCCAATTATTAATTGAGAATTAGCGGACAAATCCAATGCAAAATACCAGCCAAAAATATTAAAATAAAAAAATTGTATTTTTATTAAATCTCCAAAAAATCCTTGCAAATTAAGTTATTTTTTGGGCCCTGAAAATCACCCATTGATTATAATTCCAGGCCCTCAAAACTCAAATGGTCCCTGAAAGTGTGTCTGCATGATCAGTGCGTGAATCCTCACCCACCCCACCCTCACCACTGTCCCTGCATGTGCAAGCACTTTTTTTGGACATGTACTAATGCAAATGTGTACGCAACTTACTCAGCTCTGAAGTTTCCGAATGTTGGGAATTGACGTTTCCGCCTCAAACAAAATCGGCATTGACTTTGACAACGCCAGCACCTGGGCAACCTTCTGGTCCACACTCTGTCCTGTTCCTCACCAAACTTCTCCTTCTTTTTGATAAGTAGAGTCGGTACCTCAGGGTTGGTGTTTTCTTTAATAACTTGTTTCTCCTTTAACGCTTTTATCCGCGAGGATACAAACGTTAAAAGCTGAGGCGTCAGCTCATTGCCGGGTTGCCATTCACCTAATCTCTTGGCGGAGATTTCTTGCAATTCTTGCTTCATCTCTTTGTTTGCCGTTTGTAAGAGTTGAAAGGCACATACGCCTTCCAGGACTGGATTCCCACGAATCCTGTGGCAACTTCTCAGTCCTGTTTGGCAGGCAAAGGTAAATGTAGCGACATCTAGTAAATCAGATATGCTATTTGGGAGTCTTTTTTTGGAAGATTGCTGCCAGGAAGTTGAAGAACATGCCGCCATCGTGGTTCCATCACTGCTCGATCTTTCCTGGCTTTCAATACCTTGTTGGTTGTCTTTTGATTGGTACAAAAACATATCACATCCAAATATGGAATCTATCCGGAAATCCGGTTCTGTTACACGTGCGTTGAAAATATTTGCATTGTAAAATTAAGCTTTTTTCCGACAAAATGCCATCAAGCAATCCACTTGCATTTTTGCGTCCTCTTTATGACATCGCTGTGTGGCAGTTTCTGTTTATGTCTGGCCAGAAGAGTGAGTGCCTGAGAACCGGGCAACCTGATCATGTTAAGTTTACGTTTGGAATGCACAAGGTGGTCGCCAATTTTTTTGCAAACTGCTCGAGTTTCAAGCATTCAATCACTTGAAACAAAAAATTCTTGAGACGGAAGCCAAACAAGCTACTGACAAAATGATTCACTGGCGACGGAAGAGGCCTTGTTTTCTGGACACAGCAACGCCTTTCGCAGATAATGAACCGATGACCGTGGCATGGAACACCAACATTCCAGTCTGTTTTAACTGTGAAATTCCTTGTTCAAATTGCATGGAGGAATTAAACGAGGATATGCCGATGGAAATGTCCACAGCAAGGGCATTGATGTCCTATGAAGAAATTCACCAACCAGCGGCTCATCATCCTGATGATGGTCACCCTTCTAGTGAAGAAGACATTTCCGACAACGAACTGGAACTCAGAGTCAGAGAAACACCGCAGTTACAAATGCGTTTAAGATCAAGAAAAAAAGTGAATTAATCCGTCAATCATTTCGAACACCCGAAAATAAAGGAACAAATCGTGACACTAGAAAGAACACATTTTGCTCTTAATATTCGTTTGAACCTTCTTATAAATTTAAGTCAAAGTTACAGTTTAAAAGATGTCACAGTCAGTTCGCGTCATAGTCAGTGTAAAAACCTGTGAAACTAATGAGTGACAAAAAACTATTAAGAAGTCACTGAGAAGTCAACACAATAGAGCCAAGGAAAATAATGCCTAGAAAACAACGAAAACCTTCGCAGCTTTTCACCGAGGATGACCCTCAATTCGATACTTGGAAACCTTTTAGCATGTGACGTCTTCTCATTTCAGACTTCGTGTTGGTATGAATTCGAATGAATGGTGATCACTGTTTCTTCAAACACATGTCGCCCTATCCAAGGGTGTATGTATGCATACATACATCTGGCTTCGTACCCAGAAGTAGACGTGAACGAAGTGAGGAGAAGGAGGCTTAGCTTTTGGCACTCCAACACCTGTGGTGCAACGAGCCATGTTTTGGGTTTTGAGACAATCAATGGAGAATTTATTGCATGCAATTTATACCATATGATATGCGTAGTTTCATCTTGTCACGAAAAGTTCTCATACTCTGAGTCGTGTAGTACATACAGCGAACATAGAGATCAAACTATTACTGAATGGTCGCTTATAGGGAGATAAACAATGGAAAATTCTACAAACATAATTCAAAGAGGTGGCCATTTCCAAATGTATTGGTTTGATTCCGAAATTTTTCAGGGTCTTTTTGATAAATAATTGCGCTTTTGGGAGGTAATCATTGATGTCGGAGGTGGTCACACATGGTGGTTCGATCTTACTTTTATCTTGCCAAAGGGTTTAACGTCCAACTACAGGTTAGTCTTTTACCTTTGTCGAACACTCCTGACAATGATGGACGCCAACTGTCACCCACGCGCTGCTAACCAGTCCAGCTCCTTTTTGATACGCACCATAACGCGGATTTTTTTTTTTCAGATCCAGATGTAGTGGCTTCATTCACGACATTGTTTAGAAAAGGAGCGAAAGCAACAGGGGATGAATTCTCCTTTTATAATATGGGCCACCATGAGCTCCTCCAGAGAGGGACTAAAGAGTGAATTATATTATCTAAACAAAGAAAGAATCAAAGGCTCCTAGGAGCGAGCTCATGGATGAATTGAATTAGTGTAGAAAAGACAGTTCAATAATCAACGAAAAAACATATACATCTTTTAGACGGTTCACTGTGTACGGACTTGCCAAAATACAGACTCGAAGTATCTGATTGCATGTGGACCTGAATATTCTAGAAACTTCTTATCAGCACAGCATTTCTACTTACAAAGCAAAGATCACTTTTAAAAGCAATTATGAACGCTTTTTAGTTGTAAAATAATTTGCTTTCTCATGTGACTGTCAAACACTTTCCGAACGACAGTGCACTACTTGTAAAATAGCCAAGTTTTACATAAGCACGAGTTTTATTTAAACCGTGGTTGTAATTAAACAATTAATATTTTCATGTGTAATAACACAGTGAACTACACGTTCAAGCGGTTACTGAACAGACATTTTCATCTCTATCAAGTGCCCCAAAGGTACAAACGAAACTGAATATATAATGAGTCTAGCAGCACGTGCGAATGAAATTCAACACAGGGCGTGAAAATTACAATATTATAACATCATGGACCTCGAAGATTTCCTAAAAGTCAGTAAAAGTGCAATGCTTTTAAATAAATGTTTCCATATGCTCTTCGCAAAGAGTCGAAACAGTTTGTATATGTAGTACGAGCTATTAAATACAGAATACAGGCGTTCATGGCTAAATTGAACTGCTTTAGAACGCGCTTTTGATAAACACTTCCTAAAAATTATTTTAATAAAACAGATTAAGCTCAAAGCAGTACGTGCGCTCTGACCTAGCCAAGTAATTTAAACCCAGTCAAAGTATCTGATTGCCTTTCTCCACCTGAATGTTCTAGAGACTTGTTTATACCAGCGCAGCATCTGTTGTAGAAATTACATTAACAGCACTGCTAAATGGAATCACCGACAAACAAAAGCCTACTTTAAGGCAAAGATCACCTAAGAATTCAAGCAAAATAGCGTAACGCTTTTTGGTTCTAAAGCCTGTGCTTCTAGTTGACACAACATTAATTCATTCCCTGTTTGCATACGAAGACAAATGGTCGAATGCATTCGTCCAAATAACTGAATAAACCACAATAGATACTCCTCAATGTTGCTTTAACAATTCGAGAACCGTTTTTTGGCAGTGATTATAAGGCTCTTTGGCTTATTCGCTTTTCGCTGAACAAAATCCCATCGTCAGGCTGTAATAGATCTCTCACACTCCTGTCGATCGCATCTTCTCCATATCAAGTATAATACCGGGAACAAATGTGCACAATTCGTCCAAATATAATGATCCACGCTCAATTATTTCAATGTCCTTTTAACAATTCTAAGTCCATTTCTTGCGGATGATATTATCAGTGTTCTTTGGAATATTTCCATTTATACAAAACCCATCTCTATAATTGATGTGTCGGGAAAAAAAATTCGCCTTACTGGTACCCTCTAGAATATTCCAAACATATGCTTAAAAGGCACTTGGAACAAAAGTAATACTAAGTAAGGGAAGTAAGAGTAAAGTGTTTAATCTGACTTTAATGACTAAATTAATGAGAATCGAGTGAGTGAGTGATCGAGTGCTATTCGAGTGCCCCCAAAAGCCCATGGCATGACTACGTAATCCATGAGCTAAAAAGAAAAAAACAGGGAAAACAAGCAAATCAGCCCGGAAAAACGCGAAAGAGAATATATGCAAAGTTTAACCATGAAGTGATCATCAAAGTGAGATCTCAAAAATGAAACGTTCTATGATTGGCAATCTGCCTTTTATAAACTTTGTAAAAGGATTTGCTCGGTTTCCCTTTCGTTGTGTTTTCTATTGTTTGCAACAATCTAGATTACGTAGTTGTACGCTGAATTTTGTCCGCTAGATTTGCAGTTCTGCACTTGCAGTTACCCTTATCCAGGTTAAACAAACAACACTTTTATGCATTAATAAGTTGATTATTTCCACTCTTTATTTCTTTTTTTCGGTTAGTATGTTTTCATTTCCTATCACCTTTTCCTTCTTATATTCTACTTCAATTTGAATAATAATTCTCAAGTAAAATAAGTGAGCTGATGCCTTCGTACAGGTTTGATCACGTTAAACTGTGCTTTCAAAAATCTTGAAGGACTAGGATTTAAGACTTCTCCTTACCTTAGCCTGAATTTCATCCGATTATTTGGAGTCGTTTTTCTCCCTCAGACTCAAAGCAATCAGATGAAATTCAGGCTACCCTTAACCCTACATCACGGCTTTATTGGCAGAAAAAAAATTAAAATGTTTTCGTAACTTATATTTCCCAGATAAACCTTTCCGAGCTATGCACCAGACTTAATTCTGTTAATAATTCTATCTAAAATTTTGTTTTTGTCGTTTCGTGTGTAAGACAAATGTACAACACGTCATTTCTTGGAGGCTAGAATAAACAACATAAGAGAAATCATTTAGGACCATCCTTTGTTTGTCCGTATACGAAATCCTGGTCAATTGCATGACTGACGGTTCTTTTCAGCAGCCGACTGCGTAGCATTTGTCAAACACATGATTTCATGTAGTCCACACAGGATTGACTTATTTAGATCACCTATAAAAAAAGACTGGAAAACTGAGCTGCTTCCTGAGGAGGTTAAAAAAACTCTAGACTTGATTGCTTGATACTATCGTAAAGGTTTAAACATCCACAATTTATGATCAAACAGCACATTTCCATCGTGTTGTTCTTTAATAATTTCGGCTCTGGCATCCTGAGTGTACAATTCGAAAGCACTGCATTTCCTAAAATGAAACAATGTTAGAATTAGTTGTTTAAGTCAAAACTATTACCCTTTCAGTACATGTACACATATTTCAATGAAACAAGTGAATGAGTCAATGACCTACTAAACTGCACAGAATAGAAGGCAGTGCCATTTTTCTCTCCCACTGACTGTCTACAGTAGCCATTCATCAGCTGATCTGATAACCATTTCCACTCTAAGCTTGTTCAAATTGACTTGATAGCTACATTTAAAAAAACAGCTCTCTAGAGAGAGCACGTGTTCAAAGTTTTGTGAAGTCTGGAAACCTGCAATTTTATCGGCTTGCTGCGGGAATTAGTATAGGTAATCACATGAGGCCAAGTACTATTAAGGATTAATTGCACGAGAGTTTTCAAAATTTCCCAAAATTGCCCGAGTCGCGAAGCGACGAGGGCAATTTCGAAAATTTTGAAAACTCAAGCGCAATTAATCCTTAATAGTACGAGGTCTCATGGGATTACTTGTTTATCAATAAAGGGCAAAATTTATACGAAGGAAAATCACGCGCGCAGTCTATTTTTATCTGGGAAGCCTGTTTAGCGCTACGGCAAATCATCAATCAAATTGAACTGACCAATCGATTCAATGAAATTTTATTCTCCAAAACTGTGTCGTGATACACTGCCAAAAGTCTAGAAAACAAAGCTCATTTCAACAGAGCGTTTCTGCCAACAGAAAAACAACAAAGTGCTTTTAACTGAACAAAACACAGTTTAATCTGAGTCCGAATCCTGGAGCATGATTCTCTTGTAAGCCCGCTTGCTCTGGCTAAGACTGGATTGCAAAGAATGGTTTCCTGCGACGTTGAGCGTTACATTGCAATGGGTGAAATTGTAGACATGGCTGGAAGCTGACCTGGACTGAGTTTGAACTGATGACAATGGATGGAGAACTTGTCTTGAAGTGGAAGCAGGCTTGGCATTGTCGATGATGTTGGACATGATTTTCTGCTCGTTTTCATCACCGGAGTCGTAGTCATCTAGGCCCTGCTCGGAGTTGTGACCCGTTATGTTTTTGATCTCGCATTTTGGAATACCGGAGCTTTTCAATTTCTTCACAACGGTCTTTCTTGC